ATACACCACGAATATTGACCTGCCCTTCACCCCGAACTAGATTCTATCTGTTTCCTTCTCGGTTTCCGCGTTATTCCTGGACCATACTGAGACTTTGGATTTTAGCTCCGCCCCCCACTTTGCATGCCCCACCCACCAATAGCGTTTAACCTTTCTCTCGCCGACCTCTACTCACTTTGGCCGCAGTCTCCGGGCTGTCTCTAAAGCGATATGAAGACGCGTAACTACCTTATGAATTTATTCCTGGGACTAGTTACGCCACTTTTGTGTGAATCTTTAGTACATCCACTAAGTCAGAGCCTCCACTTTCTTACACACCTCGACTAGCGCTCCTGTTTTGTTTTATTGACATCAGGTAGGAAAAGCTAAGCTAAGCAGTAATTCAAGTGGTAAGCTGGGTAACTCGCCTTGAGGAAGTTCACGAAGAAAAGACAGCCCATTAAGAATCAAGGAGAGGTAGTCGGTGAAGCATAGGCAAGAAAAGTAGCCAAGAGCCGAGGGATGACAACCCCCTTTTTGCCCATGAATTTGCGCGTTTGAAAAATCCCATCAATGCTGCTTTCTTCAACGCTAACGCTGCGCTTGAGTGGCTAGACTCAGACGGCGGAGGTGAGAAAATTGGTAGGAGTGCAGAGCGCGAGCGCGCAGCTACGGCACTGTTAGGCCTCTGGAGCTTATCCATCGTTGGGAAACGCGCATCGTCCTGAGCCCTCAGGAGGCTGACTCTTTTTTTGACTACGCCACACCCTTTCTTCGATCTGAAACGTTATCTAAGAATCCTTCTTTAACGGGCTGCGATTTATTTTGAGAATAGCGACCATAAGGGTAATCCTTATGCACAACTGGGCCTTGAGAGGTTTCTTCAGAACTAAAGTTAGTCAAATAGTACTGATACGTAAATGTACCACCAAGAGTCAAAAGATCAAACCATAAACAAGAGCAAACTTACCGAAGAAGCAGTGAGGTGTGGCCTCCTCCAAACCTTGGAGGACTACAGGTCTGAGGGCAGAGGTCGCCGTTAAATAGGCTTCACTTTACAGCAATCGACACTCACAGCAAATTGCGTGTGCAATGAGATCTGTCAAGTTTTTTTTTCTTGGAAGCCACCGTTAACCCTGCAACAGGTTGACTGTCACCTCATACTTTTACTCACGTTGTCTAAATGTCGGCACACACCGCTGGTTGTACTGTCAGAGGCGGCGCGACTGACTCAAATGACAGCTTTCATCTCACAACAACAACTGTGATAGAGCTAAGCAGTCAAGGGAACACTATCTTTTAGGTGGAAGCTGTTCGACTGCAAGATTCGTTTATGACTGAACTTGAAGCCTTTTCAATAGCACCTTAAATTCACTTTCTTTTCTTTTTTACTTCTGGCTCCGAACCCACCAAAAATATGGATGCTGAAAAGCAAGGCCGGGGACTAGCCGCTCTGCGAGTGAACGTATTAGATTCATACCTATGGAGGTCGTCAAAATGCGCGGGTAAGGCACTAATGTTACGGACAAGCAACTAATCCCCACCCAGCTCCTCCTTCCCCATTGCGCTGTTGTAAGGATTAGCGATGAAGACTGCGGCTATACACATTGTGGATTACCGCGGGGATAATAACACAAAGATATAAATCCAGAGGTAGCAACTGCGGTTACGATTAAAAAGCGCGTTCGAACACGCCTTTCCCCATGCCAAAGTGGAGCACCGTTGAAAGAATGGGGGGAGGCTTGTTCAGAGCGTAGTCGGCGGGTTTTTGCTTTCGTTTTTTGTTTTTCTTTCTAGAGATTCTTTCCAGCTTCACTCCTCTCCTCCGCCAGACGCTCTTATGCAGCACAGTGCTGATCAACTTCTTCCCGAAATGAGCGCTCCCCATTTCACCTCCACTCACAGTTTTTTCGTAGTTTCGTTCAAATGTCAATATGCGTATGAGTTCGCACGAGTCAGTGGAATATTTAGTCAGCGCTTTTACCCCCCCCCCCCCCAAGGACTCCAGCATCGTTACCCAACTCCTGGACAGTAGAGGTCCTATTGAGTTGATTTAGAAACCATCTCATAAGGGATTCGATCTCCAAACCACACGTTGCAAGGGCTTATGCGTTCGAAACACGATTTACGTGCGTAAGAATGCTCGAATGATCTTCACTAACAACAAGTAAAACACATGTTCTCATACTTATCCACCCCATCCATCGCTCAGACGTTTGCAAAGACGACCTTGAGCAGTGGCTGTGAAGAAACGAAATAATACCAGATGCCTCTTTATTTTCTTGACGAGCAAGTTTTTCCAAGCGCTGACTGTTCCAAGAGTACCATGAAACCTACCTGCACGAATTTTCATGAGATCCTGTTGTCTAGTTCATGGGAACTAACTCAAAGTCAAAATTAGGTCAATAAGGCTCATTTAGGTAAAATCTTCAACAGGCACAGACTGATCTGCAGCAAAAGCGCTCGAGCGTTGGCGCAAGCACGTAAAAGAATGTTGGGTGAAGGTGCTTGCTGTGCTAAAATGAAGTCAGTGAACCTCTGAAGCTAAAGGGTCTGCTATAGCCTCGTTTTGACGCCTGTTTGGCTTTAACAATTGCTTAATCGGCCGCTATGAACTTCACTGCTTCACCGCCCCAGCTAGATTTGTCAACCTTCAACAGGATAGGTAAAGCCTTGATTTTTTTAGATGCTCAAAATACAAGAGACATCTGCCAATCTCATAATGCGCGAGCCATACCTATAGGTCTAAATGCTGCCCTACTTATCAGGTGGGTATGGTATTATACCTGCTTTGAGTAACTGAATGAGGGACTGCCTTGATTCAAAAAGCCCATGTAGCGACCTCCAACCCACATAGCGCTTTTCAAGGTTAAGGCACGCAGTGGGATTCTTCAGGAAGGCTGTGAAAAGATCTTGTTCACAAAGAGAACATAACTGTTAATTGCCGAGACGGGGTTCTTCAGAAGCTCCTGTGAAATTTCGTAGTACAATTTGCTGCCGAGACGTAAAATTATCTCTTGTTTGCTGCTTAATTGTTAAACTGTGCACGTGAGACTGGGAAATGCTCATCCAAATTTTGACTTTAATTAGCTGAAGAGCGGGTTTTTTCACCTAGTTCTTGAGTGGTTGTTATCTGCAATACTTTGTTCTTGGAGCAATTACCCGCTTAAATCATTTAAGCACTTCCAATTTAGACACATGTGAAGTTTTCAAGGAACTGTGTGGTGAATTGTTCGTAATTGAAGTGAAGGAGAATGAATAATGGATATCGTCCTTAGGACACAGGCATGTCTAGTGACTCAATGTTAACGTTGAGCAATGATTTTTTATCACTTAATGTGTTTCTATTTGCTGCTTATTTATCACAGTGTGCCCATGGCTCTAATCTGACATACGCTCAAATGCCAAAATTGTTTGCACTGTTGAAGAAGATACTCCCTAGCTCCTCCTCCATGGGAGCGAGAGGAGTTGGATATCAATGATTGATGACCTACACAATGAAAGTCTGCAATGAACGGTTACCTGACTCGGTAGCTTGGGAATTCGATTTCTTGGGAGGTTCGGACTTATGTTGCGGACCAAGGTGAGGACAGCAGTAAGATGCTACCAGTGGTAGAGAAACGGTGAGTGAGACGACTGAACCTTTCTCGAGAGAAAAAGCTTCTAACATTAGACGATTATGTGCTTAGAGAGGCTAGGGAAGGGTCTGTTACCCAAGCTAACTCTTCTGATGAGTGTGTGCATCGGGATAGACGGTTATCGGTGTTAATTGACAGAGACATCATAGAAAGAGGTGACTAACGGCTCGCATGATAGCTGGCCCGCTGAGTCACTCAAGGTAAGCTCAAAATGGGCGAGCAGTTGCAGACAAACATGGGCTCTGGCTTCGTTTGGAAAGGTATTTTTACCACTCGCTGAATCATTCCAAAAGGCTACAGTATCGACACGTGAACCGCCATGGGAGAATTCGAAAGAATAGAGTACTTTCAATACGTTGGGAGCGAATTAGCCGCTGACTGTAGCCTCTCACATGATTAGCTTAGGGTCCGGGCGAACGCGACATACAGAAAGTGAGAAGGAATCCACGGCATCTTCTGTCTGACTGATGCTCCATCGAACTCAAAGGAAGGTGTACGGACAGTGAGTAGGCCTTTGCTATTGACTATCGCAGCGAGATCTGGCAACACTGAAACAAAGATCACGAAGGAAGCTCCGCTCCCCATGTGAGTATGTGAGATCCTGATCTACGAGACTGGCAATACAGAACCTTAACCGGTGTTCGCAGACGACGTCGAACAGGGTCAAGCGAGGCGTCGAGGAAAATTCGGAAATACGACCCCCCCTCCCTCTGCCGAAGGCCGAAGTCCATGAAACAACCCTCTTTCAAAAGCCGAACTGAAAAAGTTGTTTAATTCTCCACCAAAACTGCTCATAAAAAGCCCTGCTACCCCATCGTCCACAAAAATTCGTTTAAAGTACAAAAGTGAAAAAGTCAAAGAATGATCATTATTGATGAGTCCTACCAAACGAGCAAACGAGAAATGGAGCAAAAAACGACAATACTCACTAAAAATGGCATACTATGACAGCATCTCTTCTTCCTTTATTTACCACTGGAAAGCTTACAAAATTTTATTCTACACAGGGCCTTCCTCTCAATCTACACGTCCCCCTTTCAGTTGGAAGAAGCCTTGTAAGCACATTAGCCATTTCATTTCCCTTAGCTCGCGCCCCTCCGCCCCACGCTTCCGTCTAAGCAACTTACCAGACGAGGTGCTTGATTGAGCTTTGGCTTGACCTTGCGAATCAACTTATCTTTACTGAAAGTTAATCACATATCAAATGATTAATTAAATTCTTCAACATGACGTTATTTCAATCTGAAAATCAGATTTGGGATTTTTGAGAGCTTCCCATTTTGATATTACAAAAAGATATAACAAATAACAAATTTAGATTGATTAACGAGGAAAATTCATAATGAACACGAATCTTTATAATCTCCAAAGCCATAACTTGCTCCATTTTCATCGAATCTGAAAATTTAAGATAACAAAACTCGATTTCTCTATCAAACGTTGGCGTAAGCAGCTTGAATAAGTTCAGTATTTTAAAGGAATTCCCATTGTTGAGAACTTTTTGCAAAACTAACGAGGAAACTTCGTAATGTGTGTGAGTTTTTTTTTACTTCCTAAAGCCATAACTCCGTTCAAACTCATCCAATCTGAAAAGTTATCAAGTCAAACAAAACTAGAAGATTTTCTCTATTCATCGGTTGCTAGAACTGCACTACGTCCGTTATTTAAAAAATGGCCACGTTGAGGATTTTTGTCCAAGTTCCGAAGAAAGGTACTTTTTCTGCATTTGGCACTATTTCAACGACTATAGCTCCTTTCAGGGGCGATTATATATTAAACTAGGAGCAGATTCGGGATCCTCGTGCATTTCCCTTTCCAAGAAGTGTAAAACTCCTTCAGAAGTGAAAGTTTTAAAAATTCTTCTAGAAGTGTAAAAAACGCGTCTCAACTTTGAGGTTACATGCTTATGAATTTAACGCTGAAGGCTGCATTTCGGGTTGAATTGTGGACCTCCTTGTAATTTCACACGAACCCTGTCGAAATCCTCTTGATTTTTCCTTGAATTGAGATTACTTTCTCAGGAGGTTGTTAGATGAAAGCGCAGATAACTTTGCCACTGGGTGATGCGCCGCTCTGTTCAGATCCTTTCAGATTTCGTAGGTATTTGAAGATAAATATCCTTTGGAAACATGTGAAAATTCCGTGATACTTTACCTTGGTGCTCAACACCACACTCGATACGAATTTATCGTACGGCAAATACATGTTAGTGGAAATCCTAACATTTCCTCATGGATCGATCGATCTTTGTACGGTGTCTCTGACGGTATTGATCTTAATGCTTCATTCCGGCCCGAATCTCTTCATATATGCCAATACGCCCCCCCTCCCTGCACGTGTCGGGGATTCTCAACCAGCTTACCAGGGTTAATTAAGTGAAGAGGAGTCCACGTACCTGTCACATGTTATGTCGTTAGACTGTCCGCTGAACAGCAATGCGCATAGAATACGCCAACGATCTATTTTAGTTTTTCTCTAGTAATCTTTTTATTTTATATCTCTCTCAGGCATCAAATAAATTAAAACATTCTCAAAATAGTTGCCTGTTGGGTCAGTCCCGCTGTTTTTGTGGGTTAATGTTTGTACTTGACAGTATGTCTCTCAGCTATTCTGTAATTTTTCGCTGCCATGAAAATATTACTTGTTTAAGGGCCGAAAAAAGCGACGTGGTGCCTGATTTTGTCTCTTGAACGGAATAATGATAAGAAGATGATAACAGTTGAGGAGAATCACGTTGTGCAGGTTTGCGTGCCACTAATTAATTTGCTATTGTCTTAGTATTAGGTTGGGAAGAAAGTCCTACGACACTTTTCCGAATTTTTGATTTCAATTTTATCTTTTCTGGTTATAATTAGTGTACGGCTTATAATCTACGTGAGTGTCCTTCGTTGTTTACGAACGCTCAAACAATGGGGTCTACTTGCAGAAGCACGGAGTGTGGGTCGAGGAAGGAGGCGACCTCACTTTCGAGTTGGAGTTGATCGTCTAATTATTTCGTCATGAGATGCTGAGTCAAAGTTAAGTAAGTTAAAGTCCAGGATTGGTGGCAGTCATCCATAGCTATGACCTAGGGGAATACGCTAGAAGAGGTGAAAAATCTTGCCGCAACTCCAGAATTTCTTACCGGGCTCATTTCGGATCATGGTGATTCGCAATGTCATGAAAGAAATGAATATTGTCGCGGTACGAGGGCTCTTGACGAGCTACCTCGGCCAGCTTCTGGTACTTCGCAACCTAGACACTAGCTACACAATGGTGCCCATAAAGAAGAATCTGTAGTTGAGTTTCCGTAAGAGCCCTACCGGCAATGGAGTGTATGGGACGCTGCTGGTTTCTTATAAAAATATTCAAAGATCGAAAGCGCTGGTAAAGCTGAAACACGCTGTATCGCTGAACGGCATGCCTATAGAAGCTATTGCAGATAGTGTCAGTCGTTGACACGAATCCATGGTTTTGTAGACATTTGTACTAGACAGTGACTCGGAGTACGGATTTGCTAGTGGTCGAGATTTTTTCACCGCGTGGATTCAAGCCACGAGAATGCTCTACCGTTTGTTTGTCATAAATGTTTCCCATGAATTTTTCAGAAACAAGAAAATTTTAGAAAGTGTGTCGCAGAACTTCCTTCATCCTAATATCTATGTTTTTAACTTAAACTTAATGTTGTGAACGCGCGCATGGTAAGTTAATAAGCGTGAGCTTATCGGCGAAGTTCTGCTATGCAGTCAACTGACGCAGGTAATAGCAAGTCTGTAGTGAGTTCTAATTGAAAGATACCATATACCTCCAATTCGTTTCCACGGACATGTAGTGACTGGTTTATCGCTACGTTATGAGGTTCGGAATATTGAAATTATTTAGAACAAGCATTGAATCTCTTATCTTTGTCTCATCTGGCGCTTGAATGTTCACGATTTGTAAGATTTTACAATATAGTGACCTACTCGGGATGTGGTCGTACTTGAGCATTTTGAGTTCAAAGAATATTTCGCATTGACCCCCATTAACGGCAGCACCTAAAGTTTGCTGATGTGCGCCACATAACGCTGTCACGCAATTCGTTCTTTCGGGGAGTAATTGCAGTGGTTTGAGTGGGGGGGGGGTAGTATGAGCTGCGACTTGGAAGGTGTGAGCCTTAAATTTAAGTTCGCTTTTTTGGAGCCATCCTTTTATAGCAGGGTTGAACCGTGCCAGAATTTCTATTTAGTATTTCAAGAAGGGCGGAAGTGGTGTAGTGGCAAGTGGCACGCTTACCACGCGAGCGGTCCGGGGATCAAATCCTGGGTCGTGAGTCGCCCGGGCCAACCAAGCCTTCCATCCCTCCGGGGTCGGTTAATTGGTACCAGACTTGTCTGGGAGGATAAAAACACTGACTTGTACATCGGCTGGCCCCCGCAAGTCATTGTATAGGCCACATCGCATTCAAACGCCACTACGAATGTACAAATGGAAGTAGAATGCGTGCCGCATCCCAAAAAGGGATTGATCAACGGCAAATGCTTTATCCTTTTTATTTATGCTTTGAGTTTAATTCCAACATAAGATTTATTTATTTGAGTTGACTGTGGACGCGAGGCATTATCAAATAAATAAATAAGTGAGAAAACATACAAGAATAAACAGATATTAGGTGAACCTAGGAAAAGTATCTCATCTGTGCCAGGCCTGACGCATGCGTCAGGCTCCGAAAGGCTCGCCAAAAGGACCTGCGAGGTTCTGAAAAAATTTCAACATTTTTGCAGCTCTTTTTTGTCTTATCGTTAACCAATAAATATAGTATTTCAGAGTCTATTGTCTAGTCTATTGTCAGTCACACAATTGGGACAACGCGAAGCTTGGGAACACAAAAATGTTAGAGACAATTTGTTATTTATCGGCATTAGGCATAATTTATCATTTACACATATTTATCGGTCAAATTTAAGCCATAAGGCGCACATGTGATAAAATAATACAAAGAATAAGAAATAATAAATAGCAGCTCCCCGACAATAAATTGCTCATAGTTACGACAACAAGGCAGCAATTGGCCTTCACTTTACGGCCGATGGGCAGCCTTCCGGATCGGGATGGTTCTGGCAGTGACGGATGGTTTCGGCTTGGGCACCTCGATGGTCAGCTGACCGTTTTCAGAAAGAGTGGATCGTGTCTGTCGACGTCAATGTCTTCTGGAAGAGTCCATCGCTGAAGGAGTGACCTGCAAAAGAGGTGATTCAGCGGTTGACACAAAGAGGCCAACCGTTGGAATTTGAAAGTCAAGGGCCTACCTGCTCGTGTAATTCGAGCCTTCGGTTATTTCTTGCTTGCCTTCAACGGTCAGAGTCCGACCATCGATCTTCACTGTCAGCTCATCTGGTTTGAATTCGGAAACATTCACTGAGAACGATAATTTTGATTCCTCATCGGTAACCTGGAATTATTCGCTTTGAGGGTCTATTACAGGAGAAAACCGAGTTATATAGGGGTGTCACGTACCTCAGGATTGTTCAACGGAGCTGTTTCCGCTTTAATTTCCGTTTTGGCAAAATGCGGAATCGAACTTGCGGCTAGCTCGAATTGCTCGAATTGGCTGAAGACGTCGTCGAGAAGAGTGGGCAGAATCTCTGTCTCAGTGGTCCATGGAAGAATGCAGATCGGCATTGCTGATTGTTCTGAAGAGAAGCCTCCAAGTGCTGGAGTTACCATACTCGGAGCTGCTTATGTACCATTCGGGGAGACTCTTCGGGAACTGTCGAGAGCCTTCTCGCTCCGCCCCTATCCCGTCACCGTGCTCGCAATGAGTCAACCGATTGGGTCCTACGAGATAGTGATTCGCTGACGAAACAACAATCAACGAACTCTTCAGAGAATTCGCGAAGTCACCAGTGCCCACCTGGTGTTAATTAGCTGCAGTGTTCCTTTTGCTGCTGTACTTTCTTAGTGAGCTTTCTTAGGTGGTGTTTACTTCATTCCGCAACTCTGCAACATCTGTCCACCGTCTCCACGATGACGCCAGGCCCCACATAGCTAAAGAGACCCGTGCAAAATTGGAAGAGCTGGTCTGGGACGCGGTTCCCCACCCACCCTATTCCCCTGACATTGCCCTCTCTGATTATCACTTATTTCATCCCCTTAAGGCATTCCTAGCGAAGAAAAAATTCACCAAAGTTGAAGACGTTGAAAGAGCGGTCAGCGATTTTCTTTGACTCTCAGTCTGCTCAGTTCTGGGAGAAGGGGGTCGCTGACCTGCCCATTAGGTGGGACTCTGTAGTGAGTAACAATGGTGATTATATTGTTGAGTAAATTCCATTGTACGCGGAATAAAAAAGTAAAGCAAAAAGTGTCAAACGGCTCAGGACTTTCGTGCCATCCTAACACATAGATGGTAAACAAATAATAATAAGGCTATGCCAATAAACAACAGAATAATGGAGAGAAGAGTAAAAAGGTAACCAATTTGAGAGAAGAGTAAAAAGGTAACCAAAACCAAGCAATACAAACCAAGATCCATTTGAGTTGAAGCGGAACTAAAGTAGCATCAAAAAAATACTCAAAAATGCTTGAAAAACAAATAAAAGTGAATAATATAAATTCACAGATGGTGAACGATGATGGAAAATTCGCAGTTTATTTGAAGTTGTGCCCACAAGCGCCAAGAAGAGTAGAAGTCCAGTTTTAAGGGCGTGAGCTGACCATCGAAGGAAAAGCAGGAGCACAAAACTGAGAAGGGCGCCTATTCAGAGGTGAGTTCTGGAAAATTGTCACAGGACCTTGCGTACTAAACTGTTTACTGATCGCTTGGGATGTTTCAGATCATTCACCCGCAAATGGCTGCTGCCCGAAAACGTAGATCTGGAGGACGGGCCGTGCCCAGCTGGACGACAAGGGCCATTTGTCTGGGGAGGCGCCAACGAAAAGCGAGGGTCATGAAAGAGAACCAACCCCATCATGGCTGCCTCTCACAAGCAGTTGAACCCGCATGGTTCTGAATTTTATTGGATCTCATACCTAATACTGTCATCAAACGAATAGAATTAAATTGGTTATTTTTTTACTCTTCTCTACATTATTCTGCTCTTTATTTGCATAGCCTTATCATTATTTGTTTACCATCCATGTGTTAGGATGGCACGAAAGTCCTGAGCCGTTTGACACTTTTCTGCTTTACTTTTTTATTCCGCGTACAATGGAATCTACTCAACAATATAATCACCATTGTTACTCACTACAGAGTCCCACCTAATGGGCAGGTCAGCGACCCCCTTCTCCCAGAACTGAGCAGACTGAGAGTCAAAGAAATCGCTGACCGCTCTTTCAACGTCTTCAACTTTGGTGAATTTTTTCTTCGCTAGGAATGCCTTAAGGGGATGAAATAAGTGATAATCAGAGAGGGCAATGTCAGGGGAATAGGGTGGGTGGGGAACCGCGTCCCAGATCAGCTCTTCCAATTTTGCACGGGTCTCTTTAGCTATGTGGGGCCTGGCGTCATCGTGGAGTAGGTGGACAGAAGTTCGTCTCGGTCGTTTTTCTTGAACAGCGTCCGCTAGTTTCTGGAGCTGACTGGCGTAAATGCTGCCGGTAGCGGTATGTCTTTGCGGGAGCAGCTCATAATACACATTCCTCACGAATCCCAGAGGCAGCAAAGAAGACAGCTTTTGGGGTGAAGGTCCGATTTTGCTTGTGTCGGCGGGTCTTCTCCTCGAGGGAGCCACACGGCACTGTGCTTGTTAGAATCGTAGAGGACCCAACTCTCATCTCTCGTAATCATGCCTTCCAAAAACTCCTTTCGGTGCGGACAAAGAAGGAGAAACTGACAAATGGGTACCCGCCTGAACCGCGTGCTATCGGTCAAGACATGAGGGATCCATCGAGTCGGCACTTTCCTGTGGCGAGGGCGTGGAGGGGACCGAGGACTGTGGGATGGGTGCACCCGAGTCTTATCACAAGGCTGCGGGTGCTAACCTCCGGATCCTCTTCGACAGCGCCGAGAACGGTGGAGTCTTCCACTGTTTGGGGGCTTCCCAACCTTGACTTGTTTTCGGAAGCCGTGTCTCCTCCTTCGAAGCCTGCGAACCAGAGCTTGGCACTGATGATGGAAGTGGTGTCCCTTCCCAATGCGATGCTGATAATGTTGACGGTTTCCACTGCTCCTGTGCCGCAGCGCCATTCATTGAAGATGATCGCTCGAAAGTGCTCTTGTGGAATCGACATCATGATTAAAGTTAAAGGCACAACTCAGGCACGGATTTGCGGGGTAAGAGCGATCGATAACGGATGTGAGTGTGCATTGTTGAATGGAAATGGAAGAAACAGCGAAAAAAACCTGCAGCTTGGCTTAGAAGACCCTAGCGCCTTTTTCGGGCGCTTTCGTTGCACGGGACTGTTACGTTCGTGATTGTCTGCTGGGGCACTACCTCACAGGACGAAGAGGACCGCTCACACGGATTCTGCCTGGGGTATCGCTTTAAAGAAGGCGCCCCGGCTATATATGCCTACTGCGGAGAAGTATGATAAATAAATAAAAATAAGCGATAATCTATCACGTAGCAGATTCTGGGTATCGATCATAAGCGAAAGCTCAGAAGCTTTCGAAAGATTGGCTCGGGACTTTCTTACTATTCCAAGTACTAAGTTTGTTACGTTTGTTTGGAATGGTGAGTTATTAGGTTGAGCCAAGAAGCTGCCCTAATAGCTTTTCCTTCCTATTATTTGCATCACATAAACGTAATAACTTCGTAATCAGATTCTGGGTGATCGATCAGTAAGCGAAAGCTCAGAAGCTTTCGAAAGATTGGCTCGGGACTTTCTTACTATTCCAAGTACTAAGTTTGTTACGTTTGTTTGGAATGGTGAGTTATTAGGTTGAGCCAAGAAGCTGCCCTAATAGCTTTTCCTTCCTATTATTTGCATCACATAAATCTATGAGGAAGTGGGGCCTACTTTTCGCCCATCTTGCAATTCCAACACACAATAATCCCACCTACAAATTTTTCATAAAACTGCATCTGTGGATGTTTTTGAAAAAGGCTCTACAGACAAATTGTGACACATATAAATGCGAATCTGAATATTAACACGGAAATCCAGTTTGAGAAAGCAACAATTTTTTATCCTCATTTTTTCGAAAATACCCGCTTTGCCTATGACGCAAAATCATAGTTCCACCTCATGTTTCTCCGCTGCATTTTGCTTTTACCCAATCAAATTTTGAAATTATTACCCATTCTGGTTTTTTAGCTCATACGAAAATCCTAGCAAAAGAGACGCAGGAATTGTCAAAGTGTCAGCTCACGCTGGAATTTGTCGGGGTGACTTCATAACGAACAAATTTCTCAAGGATGCTACAGGATATGATTCTGGGAAGGAACCCTGATTACTATCCGACCGAGATAAGCGCCGTATCGTGAGAAAATAATACGACTTTATCCAGCCGGGTACGGAAATCAAAACTTCTTCAAAAGTTAGTGTCTCAATGGAAGCAGTTTCACGTGTTTTACAACACGCTCGTGACAGTCCATGTAAGAAATACGCTTTTTGTGAAAAGAAATCAGAGAGAAAAACGAGCCATTTTCTTAAAAAGTTTTGCGAAGTAGAGCAAGTGAGGACACTTTTTTATCTGTGATATTTTGGAACCTCTGACCATACTCCTGATCTTTTTCTTCTCCATACATGTTTGCTACGAAGTAGAAAACCGATCTGAGAAAGAAAAACGTTAAGAGAAAGAAAGACGCAAATCAAAATCGCAAATGAAAGAATGCCACCGCTTCACTCGAACTTGGCTGAGCTTTCAAAGAAAAATGGCTCGTTTTTCTCTCTGATTTCTTTTCACAAAAAGCGTATTTCTTATCCTTCCAGACATGGACTGTCACGAGCGTGTTGTAAAACACGTGAAACTGCTTCCATTGAGACACTAACTTTTGAAGAAGTTTTGATTTCCGTACCCGGCTGGATAAAGTATTATTTTCTCACGATACGGCGCTTATCTCGGTCGGATAGTAATCAGGGTTCCTCCCAGAATCATATCCTGTAGCATCCTTGAGAAATTTGTTCGTTATGAAGTCACCCCGACAAATTCCAGCGTGAGCTGACACTTTGACAATTCCTGCGTCTCTTTTGCTAGGATTTTCCTTTTACGGAAGTCTGACAGCGGTTTTGCCTTTGCTATAAGCTAAGGAACTTGAGTGGGTAATAATTTCAAAATTTGATTGGGTAAAAGCAAAATGCAGCGGAGAAACATGTGGTGGAACTATGATTTTGCGTCATAGGCAAAGCGGGTATTTTCGAAAAAATGAGGATAAAAAATTGTTGCTTTCTCAAACTGGATTTCCGTGTTAATATTCAGATTCGCGTTTATATGTGTCACAATTTGTCTGTAGAGCCTTTTTCAAAAACATCCCCAGATTCAAGTTTTTGGGAAATTTGTAGGTGGAACTACAATTATGCGTCGCAGGGTAGATACCAGCCCAAGATTTCGTACAAAATCGGATACTTAGAAGGCTCTTTCCTCGACGTCTTGCATAGCGATTGCAAGAAGATTCGGTGAGAGTGAAGCGTAGCAGCTCCTTTAGCTTGGCAAGGATAACAAGGGTGACAAAGTGGTCGTACGCCACCGTCTCAGTGAAAGATAACACAATGCTTGATAAGATATGAGTGCCTTCCCGCAATTCTCCTCGATTCGATCTGAGCGCCTCTCCACAACTCCCCTTGACAGATATGAGTGTCCCCCACCCCGAGCTACATTTTCACCGTGTTATCCAATAGCGTCAACAACTATCATGGTTCAGATGTTGGGAAGGTTTAGCGGGGCTGAGTAAGGCATTTCAGCGGTGGCAATGATAATGAAATTGAAACACCCAACAGCATATCTGTTTTCATGAACACTGACATCATATGGTGCTTAGGGAGGCTCTTCTAACATTTTGACCCGCTGAGAATTGGAGATGTCTCTCAATCATTGTCGAGAGAGACCTCAGAATTTTGGATCTAAGTTCCTGAAATACAAGGTTGTGTAAGCGAGCGATGGAGAGAGGAGGATCCAGCAAGATGACGGGCCCTGAGACGAGCTCCTTCTGTGCGAGTTCTTCTAACATCGTTAGGAGAAATTACGGTGGAATAGGAAGCGAAAGGAAAGATAAAGTGAAATAAAGAACTGGCGCACAAACTCAATCTGCTTCCAGGTATCCGTTCCATTGGGAGCAAAAGAATTTTTGAAGAATTTTGTAAAAATAGAACGAAATTTTTTGCCACAACACTCGACCGATCAAGAGGTCTTGAATGTGAAGTTTCATGGCAGAAAACGTCTTCAGCTGACCCGTGAATATTGATTCCATGGTGTCCACATACTTTTGATTAGCATTGTGGTAACCGTGAGCATACACTGCGGTGCACAATAGATTTGCATCCCATAGAAAACTTGAGTTTTGAGAGAGCCCGGAACTTTTATTGCTTCTGCCTACACTATATAGTTTAGAATAGACAAAGGAATAATATCTGTGATATTTATTTGACATTACGACTTTTTTAAAGTTTGTGACAACAATTTTTCACTTTTTGAGCCGGTGCATAATAGATTGGACGATATGTATTGTGGATCAAAAAACAAGACGTAAAGTCTGCTCCTCCCATCTAAGTATGAGGCAGCGTCCCTTCTTCTCAGTGAGCTTGGAACTGGAATCAGATTTTGAATCAGCGCATTCTAAGCAGCAGAGGCGGTACAGCTTTGTGAATGCATTTCGCAGCGACTGAACATTGTCATACGCTTCCCCATTTGCGTAGATCTTACGCTTTAATATACCCTATGTATTCCCGATAGGATTTGTATCAGGATTACATGCCTTCTATGGCAATAATGGGTTGTTATTAGACCTAATGGGTTGTTATTAGACTGAAAGTGGGACAGAGTACTTCACGAAGTGTGGTTCGAAGCGTTC